TTTCAGCCCACTGTCTCTCAGCTGACAGTCTCTCTCAGTCTCTGTCCCAGCAGTGCATGTCTCTCTCAGCAGTGCATGTCTCTCATGTCTCTAAGCCAGCAGTGAGAGATTCCTTCTGCTTCTAGGAGGGTTCCTTTTGAGGCTGGCAGAGTGGCCAAACTAACCAAACCCGACATCAGAATTCTATACACCTGAGAGAGAACTTCCCAGAAGATTGCTTCAGACCACTCGCAACAGAAATACCCCAGGTGGATAATTTTAACAATCAGGAGCTACTCAGTTGCTCATGGCAAATTCCATCACAGAGTTTACAAAGACTTATGGCTGGAAAAGCCAAAAGCCATACCAGGTGACTTACTACACCACACAGATATACTATCCAAACCCTCTACAACAAAGACCTGAAAAAAACCAAGTGAAATGGATAGAAATGACAATCCTTTCCCAGAGGAAAGGATAAAGAAGTAAATCAAATACCTAGTAGAGAAAGAAACTTACCAAAAGCAGTGAACAGGATCTCCAGTGTGATAAATTTACACCAAGGCGGTTTTAATTACTGCAAGTAGCAGTCATTAAATAAGCTAAAAATCAAAGCATGGAAAAACATCTATCAAGAAAATGGCAACCAAACAAGAGTAGGAGTGTCAATATTAACTTCTGATAAAATAGAATTTAAGGCAAAAACCAGCAAAAGAGACAAGGAAGGACATTATACAATGATTACAAAGTCAATCCAACAACCACATACCTACAATATCTCAGCACCCAATGAAAGAGCCCCAAAATACATAAATAAAACTGTAACATAATTGAAAAGAGAAATAGACAACTCCACAAGAACAGTTGTTATGTTGTTGTTGTTGTTATTTGCCGTCGAGTCGGCCCCGACTCATAGCGACCCCTCCTTGGGTTTCCGAGGCAGTATCACTACGGAAGTAGGACTGTCATTTTTAATGAAGGAGAGAAAAACTAGAAGGAACTCAGTGAAGACACAGAACATCTAAAGACAATACTCACTGCTGTCGAGTCAATTTGACTCACAGCGACCCCTCCTTGGGTTTCCAAGGCAGTATCTCTACAGAAGGAGATTGCCCAACCTTCCTTCCAAGAACTTGACCTTACAGACGTAAAAGAACACTCCATCCAACAACAGCACAATATACATACTTTTACAGTACATCTGGAATATTGTCCAGAATAGCTCATATGTTAGGCCACAAAGCCAGCCTCAATAAATTTAAAAATACGTGTGGTCAGCTGCAATTTCATCAAAGACAAGGGAAAAAACGTAAACAGAAGCTGTTCTTTCAACCATGGCCAGAGAGGGCCAGACTCCAGAGGGCTGAGGACTGACAGAAAGGGCCAAAGACCAACAGAAAGAGACAAGGATAGACAGACGGCCAAAGACCGATGAAAAGCATTGCTCTCGAGGCACAGTAACACAGGGTCATGAAACGGCAGAAGCCTATCAGTACTCAATGCTTGCTGCTTAGTTCATCATGGATTAAACATTAATTTCTTAAACACTGCATAAATAATCAATTACTAAGATTTCTGCCACCCCCTTACATATTACACTCCAGGAGATGGCAGCCTCTTTAAATGGCACCATTTTCAAAGGAAGTGGACTGGAGGAGAAAACAAATGATGGACAAGGCACTAAGAGGTTTAAGGGTGGAGGTGAGAGTGAGACAGACTTAAACGTCACCTTTCTGCCTTGTCAGACTTGGAGAACATTATTCTTAAGTCTGTAAAAAGAGGGTCATATAATGTGTTATATTATTTTCTGATCAGCAAGTGGATTCATACCCAGTGTTATAATGAACCATATCAGAACCTGAGGCAAAAGGAATAAATAACGTATGGTCTATATACTATATGGGAGCTCTGGTAGCGTAGTGCCTAAGGCATCTGACTGCTAACCAGAAGGCTGGCGGTTCAAACACACCAGCCACTCCCCAGAAGGAAGACTGGGCAATCTACTTCTGTAGTGATACCACCTCGGAAGCCCAAGGAGGGGTCACTGTGAGACGGATCCGACTCCACGGCAGCAAGTTTGGTTTCTTTGGTTTATATACTATATACTCAAGATCCGTGGGTGGTAGTTTGCAATCACCTAAAGGCTGGTGATTAGAACCAATCCAATGGCTCCAAGGAAGGCCGCCTGGTGAACTACTTCTATAAAGATTAATGGAGGAAAAAAAAAAAAAAAACATAGTGATCCTGTAGGGCTGAACAGAACTGCTACAGAGCATTTCTACCACTGAAAATCCTTATGAAGCAGACTGGCTCATCCTTCTGTGAAACAGCTGGTGGGTTCAAACGGCTGACTTTTTTATTAGCTTTGACCACAGTGCTGCCAGGGCTCCCTCCAAGAAAACCCAGTGAAGCAGTTCTACTCTGTTAACACAGGGGCCACTGTGGGAAGGAATCGACCTGTCAGGAACAGGTTTTAGGCCGTAATCATAATAAACTCACAAATTTTTAACTCAGTGGAAATGACGGAGATTCTGAACATTCAGTGGCGTTGAGAGTCCTCAAGTAATTTCTTTTAGAAGGATCAGCACAAGGCTGGTTCCTATGAGGTGGAGTCTAAAGATGTCTCAAGCGTCCAGTTTTCCCAAACTGCTGTGCCACTCCATCATCTCTAACGGACACTTCTCCACCTCCCCTTAGTACTCTCCCTCCTGTCTCAGGGGTCCATATTTAGCTTAACGTCTCACAGAACTCACAAACTGCCAAGGAAATGGCTCATGTGGTGGTGAAGGCTGGGAGGCTGCCCAGTCCCAAGTCCATGGGTAGGTGTGGAGGACTCTCCCCAGTCTCGTGGCTGCAGGGGCTGGTGAACCCAAATCGGCAGGTCAAATGACCAACTGCTGTCTGAAGTCCAGGGGTGGCATGATGATGACCCAAACGCAGGACTGGAGAAACAGAGAGAACTTTCCCAGAACATTCACATATATACCCTCAAAGAAACCGAGGGTGGTGACTTGAGTCACACCCTCCAACAAGGCGGGCCTGATGCACATCCCACCCTCAACAGGCACATTGTTGTTGCGACCCCTCCTTGGATTTCCCAGGCAGTATCACTCCGGAAGTAGACTGCCCAACCTTCCTTCCGAGGAGTGGCTGGTGGGTCAGGGTTGAAGACTATGACTTACAATACCTCACAAAATGGAGGATGACGGCTAGAAGAGCCATATGAAGCAATTCAGTGCACTGCAAAGACACAGTTTTCACCTGGTAAGGCCAGACAACTGTTTTTTTATTTTCCCGTGCAACTGCAAGAATCATTGGATGAATGACATTCCATCCAAGAATCAATTGGATAAATGACTTTTGCCTTTTATTTTTATTTTGCAGTTTTTCACTTTAGCTGCTAATGCTCTGCATTTACATAATGCAAAAAGCACTTTCACCACCCATTTGATTTCCAGAGCTCGGAGCATGATGGCCGCTTAGAGATGAGAAAGTGCAGAACCAAGCACTGGTGTGAGCCTGGGCCCTACAGTGCCAGGCCCTAGACCTGTCTGTCCGAACTCAGGCAGACAAGCACACCCTTTCACTTGTCTTACTATTATTGAAAGACAAAGATTTACTAGGGCAATGTGATGTAAGGACATGAAGCAGTACACAGTATGACAGGATTTCCTTTTCAAGGAAGCACTAGGGTTCAATTATGTGTCTCCATCACTATCCCTTGTTATCAAGGACTAATCTAATTCTAAAGATTCAATTAAACTTCCTTTCTACGAGACGTTGCCCGATTCAGTTTATTTAGTAGATTTTCCAAATGTCACTCTCTTCTGGTGGTTTTCATTAGAAAACCTACTGGGGGATTTGACCTCGCCTGACAGACCTCCAACACGCTCATCTCACATCTGCCCAAAGCTGTAGCACCACACTCACTGACCAGCCAGGGGCAGACCAATTCACACCTGTCCAGTAAAGGACCCTACAGAGGCTCTGCATTCCAGACAAACCCCATCCCCAGTGGGGGAGGCTAGAAGAAATTGAACCTGAACTCTTCATCAAGGGTGTCCGGGGGGGCCTTGGCTCCCCCCACTGGACGAAGCCTACAGACTCTTCGGCTCTTCAGTCTGGCAGCCTCACCTACAGGCTGCACTTGTGCTGACTGGGCTGCTGCGGGGGGAAGGGAACAGAGCATCAGAGCCGAGTAACAGCACATGAACCGTGTACAGCCTTTGTGGCCATGTAATTGCAGATCTTGTATAAATTAACTGATTTATTTCTGTAAATGATGAGGCCATCAGTTCCCATTTTAGAATCATGGAAGTGAGGCACAGTGAGATTAACTTGCCAAAGATCTTAAAGCTGCTAAACAGAAGTTCTAGGTCACCTGGCCCCAGGAGTTGCACACTAACACTTCCTGGCCAGCACACAAACCCAAGGCAGCTTTCCCAATCTCAGGTTGCCATGACTCAGAACAGAGTCTGTGGCAACGGGTTTGGCGCTGGTGCAGCATCTTTCCCTCCTGCCGGGACCTTCTGTGCCTGCCTCCCTGGTCCAGGCCCTGATTCTGAGAAGTTAAGGTTTTCTCCCTTCCTGCTCCCCAGGATTCCCAGAGCCGTGCTCTTCTGACCAGCCTCGTTGCTCTGGGCTTCTTCCTTTAACTAGGTCATGCCCCCTTCCTCCTTCTACTAAGCCATCCCGAATCAACCCATTCCCAGTCCTCACCAGCCCTGAGGGCCCGCAGGGCCTCCCGACGCTCTGCTTCCATCTGAGTCCGGTAGTCCCCAAACAAGGAATGCATGAGCTGCCTCTTCCGGGGCAGTGGGGTTCTTTCGCTGCGCAGGGTCCGGATTGCCCCGGTAGCTTGCTCTTCTGGGGACAGAGACAGAACCAGTAATCTCCTCTGTCTTCCCCTCTAATTCCACGCAGCACCTGAGACGACAGAACTGTTACCCCCACACACACCCACTCTAAAAATGGGGCTCTCACTCTGCTTTGGGCTGGGTCTCCGGGTTCTCAAGCCGAGCTCCAGCTGTTCTATGCACCAAGCCAGCTCCCGGGCCAGCTGTTCCGCCTGTGAAGGATTGAAGGGAGTGCCTGTGAGAGGGCACAGCGCCTCCACGGCTGCCAGCCCCTACTGCACTTCCATCCCTCAGGGATCCCAAAGCCCAGCTCATGCCACCCCACTCCCCGCGGATCCCAGACCACTCCCGCACGCGGCCTCACACGCTCAATGTGCCCGGGGACCCTCCCTCCCTCCCGAGGCCCGCTCTCGCCTGGGCCTCCGCGCTTGCAGGAGGTTCCGCTGGGGCGGGCGCCTTGCAGGCCTTCCCGCCTCCATTCGCCAGAGAAGCCCGGTTCCGGGTTTTCTTCTTCCTTGGCTTCTTAGAGACTGCATCGCCTTCAGCGCCCACAGGGTGCGCCCTGGAAGCGGCGGCACCTGACGCGGGATGCCCTGAGCAGACACCGACTGGGCAGGACGTTGCAATGACAAGTCTCGGGGCACCGGGAACCGGGCCAGGGAGCCGGGGTCTGCGGGGCGTGCGGCCTGTACCCGGCTCCTCCGATGTCTCCTGAGCAGGGCGTCCTGGGGCCTGGAGAAAAGAGGGCAGCACGGGGGTCACCGGAAGCCGCCGGCAACCCGAGCCCTCGGCCCCCGCGCGTCCTCTCCGCCATGCTCACCGCCATGCGCCACAGCCGCAGCCAGGCCGGAAGTCGAGCGTGGGGGCGACGCCGAACTCCTCCGTCCGGAAACGCGCCGGAGACGCAGGGTTCCGTGGAGCGCGGGCGGCGGCGGACCCTCTGGTGTGGACGAGTGTTCAGGACCCATTTACGGTGCTTCAGAAACCGTTCTGGATGGAAGCACAAAGCTCCAAACGCGGGTGTGGGTCGCGGGATGGGAAGTGGTGTCTCAGGTCAAGCGCGTGAGAGGTTTTTGTAGGAGGCAACGAGACAGGTTTGCACCTCGTGGGCGCTGGGCAGCTGTGGCCCAGGGTCCGGGAGGAGTGGGGCAGATGGACGGACAGAACGTCTCTGAACAACAGCAGATGTGGGCCACCAGGACCGTGAGAGGACAGGGTCCGGAGAGTTCCCCCTAAAGGCCTGTGTGGAAGAAGTACGAACTGGAGGAAGTCTGGGAAGACGGAGCAGAATGGGGACAGTGTCCAGTCTGGGCGGTCTCATGGTCACCGCAGATAGTCGATTAACTGCCTATTCCTGTGTAGCAGATTTAGCAGTTTTAATCTCATAAACTTTCTGGGGTTCGGCAATCTGGCGACAGCCTCTCTGGGTGATTCTGGCTCAGGGTGGCTGCACCTTTGGAAAGCAGAAGGATCACCGACTTTGTGGGCACGGTTCACAGTCGGGTGTGTGTTTTAGAGCTGGGGGGCTGGAGGGAGTACGGAGTGGGATATCGCCCCAGATCTAACCGAACCACCCTCTGTGACTCAGCACAGAACTCAGACCAGAAAGCCACCTCCACCCAGATACTGACCTCAACCCAGGCCTCAGGGCAGCTTGTCCAGTTCCTGAAAAACCCCTTAGAGATTTTATTATAACTGCATTAATTCTACAGATCATTTTGAGGACAGGATCTAGTTTTCTTTTCAAAAAAGATTTATAGCTTTCTCCATAAAGGCCTTCCACATTTCTGTCAGATTATTTCTGAATATTATTTCTGATCAGCATCAGGATTAATAAGGAGCTGTGGTGGTGCTACTCCAGCTGCTAACCAAAAGGTCAGCAGCTCAAATCCACCAGCTGCTCCACAGGAGAAAGATATAAAGATTTACAGCCTTGGACACCCTTTGGGGTTGGAAGCAACTCCACATTAGTGGATTTATTAAGTGCTTGGCCTCTAACCAAAAGGCCAGCAGTTCAAACCCGTCAGCCTGTCTGTGGGAGAAAAAGATGTAGCAGGCTGCTTCTGTAAAGATCACAGCCTTGGAAACCCTATGGGGCAGTTCTCCCCTGTCCTGTAGGGTCACTATGAGTCAGAATCGAATTGACAGCACACAACAACAAAAACAACATTAGGATTCAAGTTGGGGTACAAATCTATATCATTTTTTATATCCACCTGATCAATCACTGAAATGCATATAACATTCTTATACACTTCAATGGCTTAAATTACCTTCTATAGATGTTGATGGCATCTAAATCTGTACCTATAGTACAGATACCCTGAATTTCTTACCTGTATATCCAATTGCCTAAGGAGCTCTGGTAGCGTAGTGCATAAGGCACTTGACTGCTAACCAGAAGGCTGACGGTTCAAACCCA